ACATCTGGTGAAAATTTCATGTCATTAGCACCTCTAGTAATATATTTACTGAGAAAAATGGTGACGTGTTCAATACTTATTTTACCCGCTGTATCTCCACAGTTTGAGATCAAACTCTATCCTCCAAGACGACAACACTCAGCACCAGAGTGGGATTTATCTGGGACTACTTCTAAAATTTGTGAGTGAAAAGGAATAAATGGTCTGCCTRAAGTCCTGACCTCAACCCACTGAACACCTGTGGGATCAGACTGTTSTGGCTGTGCATGGTTCTTCTACACGCTGAGTCTTGTGTTGAATCAATCGCTAAATTGCTGTGTCTCTTTTTTCAGACTTCCATCATCCAGTCCAATACACAACACCTAATCTGAGAAGATTTAGCACATTTTTAATGAGCTTAACCCATATACCCAACTCTGCTACTGAACTCACAGAAGCATTTTCCAACAAATGTGGCACTAGGAGGAAATAACTATTTAAGATTTATTGTCAAAAAGCATTGTCACAACAAATAAAAAGTAATAAAGCACACATTTCCTTACTTTTTGTGGTGTTTGTATATAAATAAATATTTTCTTGGAGTATTTAAACGCTCACATAAAAATAAATTATTAATAAATAGCTACAAGTCAAATGTGTGAAAATTATCCTCAAGGTATTGAAGTTTGTCCTTTTTGGGAAAAAATGGTAAAAATTAGAAAAGAAGTGAATACAAACTGCAGTACTTTTATATGAAMATTCGGAACAGTTTTAAACAATTTTTTGTAAAATTGAGGAACATTTTGGCATCAGAGTGATATTTAAAGGATCAAACATCTTTTCCAAATGTCCTATCAGAAGACGTTTATTTATAGCCTGAGGAATCTTCTAAAAACTGCTCCTCCAAGCAACTCTGTTTCTTGTGAGCATAATTAAAATCCATTATCTGCAATTATGGCTCATGTTTCTCTTTCTTTCTTATCATGCCAGCATTTCCTGCTGAACTTGTATTTCTGTGCAAGACAAGAATACACTGAGATATCTTTTATTCAAAACATGTGGAACCTAAGTGCAAATATTGAGGTAATATCAAAATATAGTATTTTTACTATTAGAAATTAGTTATTTTTACAAGTTTTTCATTGGTGAACTGGTTTGATTTGTGGATTTAAGAAATTCTAAAGATCACAATCTGTTTTTTGTTTAATCGTTGGTATGTTTTTGCGTTTATTTTTTTGTTTTACTCTTATTTGGTTAGGTTTATTTTCTGTGTGATTAGTTCTGTTCCTCTGTGTTTTCCTGCGCCACCAGTACTTTTCCTCAGTTAGTTTCTGCTCCTCCATCCTGCCACGTCCACCCTCACCTGCTCCTTGCTTCCATTAAACCACCTGTCTCGTCTCCTCATCAGCCCCAGTTCATTTAATCTCCCAGCCTTCACCTCACATTGTGCTTCCAGGCAGCCGAGTGAAACAAACCCCTCCCAAAAAAATGAACCACAGAAAAAAAAGGCAAATAGGCTGAGTGATTAGTGCTTCGTTTGTGCGGATTTGTGCACTTGAAATTGTCGTTTGTGCTGCTATGGTTTTTTATATATTAAAGATTATTTGTAAGGGTCATTCAGGTGCCACCGCCCACCCCACTCACTCCAAAATGAACCAAACTAGTTGAATTTTGTAGTGCTTTGTTTGTGCAGGTTTGTGCCACTGAAACGGTTGTGCTGCGGATTTCACCACCCGCTGACTTGTCTAGCACATTTGTCACAGACGTAAACAATTCAGGCCAAGTCACGTGATCGTCCAAAATTGAAACGTGTAATATCTCATAAGTTATAGCAGCGCAAACAACCGTTTCAACGGCACAAACCTGCACAAATGAAGCACTACAAAATTCGACTAGTTTGGTTCATTTTGGGGGGGATGGTGACCCCTGAATGACCCTTACAAATAATCTTTAATATATAAAAAACCATAGCAGCACAAACGATTATTTCAAGTGCAAAAACCCGCAAAAAAAGCACTAACCACTCAGCCTATTTGCCTTTTTCTGTGGTTCATTTTTTGAGAGGGGTTTGTTTCACTCAGTTCTTCCAGGCCCTATCTGGGTCACCTGGGTGTCTCCTTACATTTTTGTCATTGTTGCTGCCATGTCAGCATTTTCGCTTTCCTCTTTGTTGTAAATAAATCTTCAAGTTTCATTTCAAGCRTCTTCAGGTCTGTCTGCATTCCTCATACAAACTATGACAGGTATGACAAAACAGAGGACAATAATCCTGTTTCTACGTATTAACATATTTTGGAAGTCTTAAGTAGAAAAAAACAATCTCCCAACACTGATTAACGTGGATTAATATTAAAATTAATGTTAAACGGAGTGGCGGCAGTCTATGAATAATGATAGAGTCAAATGTGGAAAAATTTGAGTTTGAATTGTGTTGTTGTGCCTTTAAACTGGAGATTTAATCACATATTTAAAAATGAACAACCAGAAACAAACTAACAACTGTGGAAGCCCAATTCTGCCACACAAAAGAAATAATTTGTCTAATGGTATGTCATAATTATGAAATACAAAGTCATAATTATGAGATTTAAAGTCATAATTATGAAATACAGTCATAATTATGAGATACAAAGTCCTAATTATGAGATACAAAGTACTAATTATGAGATACAAAGTACTAATTATGAGATTCAAATAATTATGAGACAAGAGTCATAATTTAGACTTTTAAAATCATAATTATGAGATTCAAAGTCATAATTATGAGATTCAAATTATTATGAGATAAGAGTCATAATTTAGACTTTTAAAATCATTATTATGAGATTCAAAGTCATAATTATGAGATACAAAATCATAATTATAAGATTCAGTCATAATTATAAGATTCRAAGTCATAATTATGAGATAAAAGTCATACTTATGAGATTCAAAGGATCTCATAATTATGATTTTAAAAGTCGAAATTATGACTGTTATCTCATAATTATTTGAATCTCATAATTATGACCTTGAATCTCATAATTTTGACTTTGTATCTCATAATTATGACTTTGTATCTCATAATTATGACTTTGAATCTCATAATTATGATTTTGTATCTCATAAGTTTGACTGTGAATCTCATAATTATGACCCTGAATCTCATAATTATGACCTTGTATCTCATAATTATGACTTTGTATCTCATAATTATGACTTTGTGTCTCATAATTATGACTTTGTATCTCATAATTATGACTTTGTATCTCATAATTATGACTGTGAATCTCATAATTATGACCTTGAATCTCATAATTATGACCTTGTATCATAATTATGACTTTGTATCTCATAATTATGACTTTGTATCTCATAATTATGACTTTGTATCTCATAATTATGACTGTGAATCTCATAATTATGACTTTGAATCTCATAATTATGACTTTGCATCTCATAATTATGACTTTGCATCTCATAATTATGACTTTGAATCTCATAATTATGACCCTGAATCTCATAATTATGACCTTGTATCTTATAATTATGACTTTGAATCTCATAATTACGACCTTGAATCTCCTAACTATGACATTAGACGTTTTTGTTTTCTTTTGAGTGGCGGAATTGGGCTTCCATAACCAACTGAGCACCCCAACTGAAATGAAAGTGTATGTCTGTCTATGTGTGTCTGTTATTAGACCCAGAACTAGTTGCAACCAGATCTTCTCCTTGTGCCTGTGAGCTCGTGGCGCGCGCGCGCACTCACACAGTAATGTATCTGTACTTGCTCTCACGTGTGTGTCCGCGCGCGCCCAAAGTATGTTTGCGGTTGAGTGTTTGAGCAATAGCATGTGTGACAAACTTACTGTATAGCCTTACTGTTTGGGAATGTGCGTTCTTGGATGCAGCGCGCGACACCCTGTTCAGAAAAAGACGAAGAAAAAGATTATYTCTGTTTGAAATGAGCTCCGCGCAGGTGCGACGAAACACCTAAAACACAAACTTAACTTTTATGTTTGAGCTATACTGAATACTTCGCGTATTTTGTTTTGTTTGTATATTTTATTTAGAGGAAACGAACATGAAGCTATTTGAGTTTGTTTTCAACACGCCGGGTACTTACAGCTTCTGAGTGAGAGAAGGTCTCAGACGAACAGCACGAGGAGACAGGACGGAGGACATTGCGTCATCCGCACGAGAACTGAAGGTACAGCTTTTTCATGTCAACATTACCTCCCTTTGAATGTCAGGTTACATGTAAACATGTGTCCTGATGTTTTCAACTTTATTTAAAAAATGGTACAAAACGGTTGATAAAAAAAAAAATAAATCATAATTTCTTACATGTAAATATATTTTAGCTTAGGATACATATCAAAGTTATAACAGCATCTCATAATGATGTTAAACTAATACTACAAATTAGGCCTATGCCTAAAATTGAGTTGCTTAGATATATTATTATTATTATTATTAATTGGTACTAAATCCAAGTTATAAGAATATATCTTAATTAAGATAGGCTCAATAATAATAATGAGGTATTATCTGGTAATTATGAGAATCTTAGTCGTAATAATGACAATGTCTCATAATGTTGAGATGGTACCTCATGATGAGATATCTGATAATTATGGGATGCTAATTATGGAATGATATCTCATCATTTTGATCTCAGCAGCAGGGTTGCAGGTTTGTCAAATCATTTGTGCAAGTTTCTTTTATGAGTCATCTCTCGAAGGAAAAAGATCAGGAATTAGAATGATAAAGGGAATAGTCTCTCATTATAAGTCTGTTTTATTCTTGAAAGAAATAGGTTTCCAAATAACACAACCCCCCCCCC